CAGACTTGTGGACTTCAACTCCCAGAATTCCTCAGCCAGCAAAGCTGGCTGAGGAATTCTGGGAGTTGAAGTCCACAAGTCTTAAAGTTGCCAAGGTTGGACACCCCTGATATAGACTATTCTGAAGGCAGTTCTCATAGTTCTTGTGAACATAAGGGAAAGGGAAATTAGGCTGAGCACATCTAAAAAAACAGCAAAAGTTTTCAACTAATCCCAAAGCAGAATGTCATGAATTGGAGAGTGTACAACATGTTCAAAATAGATAATGTGATTGCAGGGCATTATGAGAGCAGCTGGTAAAGAAACCTTGAAACCAGAGCTTGCTGGAGTTTTCAATCCATCACACACAAAGCTAAAATTCAGTTGTCATCTTTAATATGCCATTTAATCTTGTACCTTGCCTGTACTAATACTTCTTCTATGTGTTTCTTCCCATCTGGTTCTTTGATCCCTCCTGCACAGATGGCCATACGGAACGACTCTTCAGATACTCATAGTTCAGAAAGCAGAGAGAACCTCCACGCTGAGGTGGGTGAGCTCTCTGATTCCAATTTGTCAGCCCCATCCACCGAGGACCTTTCTATCACTTTGACATCCTCGGAAGCAAGAGAGTCTGCCAGCTGGGTCCGATCAAGTGTTCACACTCAGCAACATTCCCGCAATCAATATAACATCTCCAAGCATGTTCCAGATTTGTGTGCCTGTACAGACTCTCTTCAGGAACTACCTGGGGATCCGATGGACCAAGAAGTATCAGAAATAAACAGCTGTTTTACTTCAGGAACTTGTTCAGCCATGAGTGCCTCATCAGTGGTCCAGCCTGAGACCCCCAAGAGAAATGTAGGCAACAGTGGCAATGTTCCTTTGAAGGACCTGAAGAAATGCTACAGTGTAGATACACAAGGTCTTCTTAAAAAACCATCATCGTGGTTAGATGATCAAAGGAGACATTCCATAGAAATTTGTTCCATGGAAAACAGCCCCAAGCATCATTCCACATCTAGTTCTTCTGGTTTTATAAGCCAGGTCTTCAGTGAAATGGAAGGCTTGCAAGGGACACGGCCAAAGAAAAAAATGAGCCCCCCATGTATATCCATAGACCCTCCTGAGGAACAGAGGTTGCTACTAAGGAGGTCTTGCACCGCGTCCCCTTCCAGTGCAGATGTTTGCTTGAGAAGACGTGCGCCATCTTGGGACTCCAAGGACTCCGTGGATGCAGGGGACTCCACCCTCCCAGACAGTCTGTCAATAACTCCAACTCCAAAGAAAGACTTGTTGACGCTCCCTAGTTTTTCCTTTGATCAACCAGATGTCGACCCTTGAAATGGTTTCTTTTCTGTTACTGGTGCCAAAAGTTTTTTTTTTCCCTCCCTCATGTAGTAAATTAAACCTCTCTATTCTAAAACGGCACTGATTTTTTAAAAATCCAAAGTTTAAAAAAGAGCTAGTGGTAGAAGAATGGTTAAGCTATATCACGCTTACTTAAGCATAAGTTCTGCTTGGGTAAAAGCAATACATTGTTCAGAGTCTATATGTATAGTCTATTTTATTAAATTAATTGAACCTAGTATTGCAGTATGTAGTACATTTTGTGGCTTAAAAACCTGGTTTATTTTCTCTTGTTTTATGTACCTCAGAATATTCCTGAGACTATGTTGGTATCTTTTTTTAAAAAAAAATAATGAATATTTTGACCTTTAAAATTACATATTTAACCCTCCCTCTTTTTTTCTTTATTTTTTCTCTTATTTTCTTTTGCAAAGCACAAGATGTAGCCATTAGTGCATTACAGAGAACATGTGCCCCATAATAGACCATAAATAAGAATTGTTGCAATTATAACACATTTCATGTTACGGAACCATCCACTATTTTCTGCAGAGATTAGCCATATCTGTTTCCAAATTGGATTTCATTACAGTGCAAAGGAAAAGGAAATACAGAAATTAAAGAACAGGGTGTAAACAGACAGATTTGCAAAAATGTCCATTAGGTTCAGAATTCAACTGCCTTCCACTAATATACAAACATATATTTTGTCATGGTGTTCCAAAATCAATCTCCAAAATCTTATGGAGCGGGAATACTTAGGATGAGAAACATTCTCTGGCCCCACTGCCCAACTCTGGTAGGTTGGAAGAGAAGGGGAAAAATGATACTCCAGCTATTTCCTGCCCCTAAAAGTCTTATTTCACTCTCTTTTGGTGGAAGAACCTAACCTGAGGGTCAAGGACAGCTGCTTACAAATCCATCTCAATTGGAACATTTCATGCCCATGTATCCAAGTAAAATGGACACTTCCTTACTTGAGAATTTCAATCCTTAATTGTCATTTGTGTTTATCTTTATGAGGTGCAACCATTGCACTATGGAAAAGGCTATGCTCCCCTGAAACTCAGTCTCTGTAGTGGCAGATATACAGTGTCTAACAACAGGAATACATCCTTTGACTTGGGATACGTAGTATAAATGTGTGTGTGCATTCTGTTTATTCCAATGGCACCCACTGCTATGAAAGAGATAGAGAATTGGAAGCGTACACATGAAATGAGTGACTTGTATGGATGGAAATCAAATTTGCTACAGATACAGCAGGGGAAGTTTCCTACTATTTATTCACATCCCTACCGATACGAGATATGCTAAACATGTCAGGCTACAACATGAAAGGCACAACATGAACCAGTGAAGGGGTATGTGTATCCTGATCAATGTGTAGTTCAACTGCTCTAGTTCCCACTAGAGAGACTGAGAATACTGTTGTCATTCAGTGTGTCCTGTTGGAGCCTCATAAATGAGTCCTCTGAGGCAGGGGTCTCCAACCTTGACAACTTTAAGACTCGTGGACCTCAATTCCCAGAATTCTAAGAGAAATCTAAGAGTTGAAGTCCACAAATCTTAAAGTTGTAGACCCCTGCTCTAAGGTGAATATTGAGGGTTTTTCAAAATAGCTTCACATTCTGCAATAGGAGAATTATGTGAAGGAACTTTATGTTGTATTAACTTCTAATCAGTCAAATGTAGAGGCAGCCCAGAGTGATTTCATTAATTGGCAATTTAATGATCAGACATCTAAAATGATTACTTCTTCTCCTCTTCCTCCTCATCACCATCTTCATCATCAAACAAATTATAGAAATTAAATCAGAAGTTTTTTTCCCGTACAGGGGGCATCGTATAGCCAAAGCAGACTGGTAGTTACAAAATTAAATGCATTTTTTTTAACTTAAATGCTGATTCGCACTATTGTAATCCCCACATTCTTTTTCTACTAGCCTTGCTTAAGTGAAAGACATGTCAATTGTATTTTAATATTCAAATAATTATCAAAGAAAAATCCAAGAAAGGTCCAGTTCTTTCTTTTTCCCATTTAAGTTGAGATGTTTTATTTAGCAGATTATAATCTTGGAGACGAGAGCCTCTAATGGCTTTATATATATATATATAAAGCCACAGATACAGCAGGAGAAGTTTCCTACTATTTATTCATATCCCTACAGATAAAAGATATGCTAAACACGTCAGGCTACTGTGAAAGTGAAGGGGTATGAAAGTGAACCAGTGAAGGGGTATGTGTATCCTGATCAATGTGTAGTTCAACTGCTCTAGTTCCCACTAGAGAGACTGAGAATACTTAAATAACAATACAACTGTTTAATTTTAAATATAATCTTATATATGGTTCTGCTGTCTTATTACCACTTATAAACTCACATAATTAGGAATGGCTTCCATGCAAGTTAATTCCAGTTGGCATTAACCTCACTTGGCTTTAACCATTAATCATGCCAAGTTCTAGACATCTTTTCTCCATTTTAGTGGAGTGCCAGGACTCAATTTTCAGTACCAGAGCTTAACCTTAGAATAGAAGAACAAATAATTAAAAATGCCCCAAGCATTTTCTTTTTTTCTAATTCTAAATAAGCAGCGGAAATTCCCCAATGGGGTAAGGCTTTGTAAGTCAAAACACTTTTGTCTAGAATGCTATGATTCACAGAATTATTCTCCAAGAAATTAAGTATTGGGGATAACCATCTGACTTCCACAGATGCCACCATGGAAACAGCAGATCTTGCACAATAATATCATGGTGTTTTGCATTAGGTGCTTTTACAGCATTCTTTTTTTAAAAAAAACTTTCTGCCCTAATACAAAAGATGATCCCAAAATGCTGCTTCTTCTATTTATACAAGTAGTCCTTGGCTTACGATCAATTGTTTAATGATCGTTCAAAATTATGATGGTGCTGAAAATTATGATGGTGACTCACTATTGGTCCTCGCACTTATGATCACTGCGGTGTCCCCACAAAATTTGGACATTTAGCAACTGGCATGCATTTGTGGACAGTTGTGGCACCCCAGGGGTCACCTTGATCCTGCCATTTGAAATCTCCCAGGGAGCGTCCAATAAACAAAATCAAGCAGGGGAGCTGGAGTTGCTTAATGTCCAGAGCCAAAAGTTTGTAAAATCTGGGGCAACTTGCTTAATGACTGCCTCATTTAGCATTGGAAATTCTGGTCCCAGATTGGTCAAGAGTAGAGGACCACCTGTATACCCTTTTATCAGATAATCTGAGACAAACTCATTTCTCCAAACCTTCTCAAAAGCTTCTCAACTGAGTTACAAGCACACTTGGTCTTCACTTGTTAAAAAATCAATCCTTCCACTAGAAAGCAACTCTGACTAGAAGATCTAGTAAAAACTCTGTGAATATTTTACAGTCTCCAGCTAACTTGGCAAATATAAGATGCAGCGGAAAGTTAATTTTTACACATACCTTTGATTTCTTGTGCCCCCCCAAAAAACTACATGATTCTTCAGATAAATCAGTATTGTGCATATCCAAGGATCCTCAGATTTGTGCCGGCACAATTTGGGGAGCCTTTTCAGAATCCAAATGTCAGTATTGACCAAATTGCTCTTTTCTATGGATCACATTATCCCTTTATTCATTCTTTAAAATAACAATAGGATAAAATGACCTTGCTTTTCAAGCCACATGAATATTTTTGCTAAAATAATTGACTTCAGCTTAATCTCTCTGTTAAATGTGTTTACCATTGCAGTCTTAAAAAATGCTTTAAACCCAGAATATCTTTAATTGATATTCTAGGCCAGGTGCTCATATAGACGACATTTTATTAAATATAGAAACTAAACCAAACATAAATATTGACTGAAAACAATCCCTAATTATATTTTAAAACCCAGTTTGAATATGAGGATATAATCTTAAACACTGAAACGTGTATCTTTATGATTATATAAGCAACTCACATTGGACACTTTCTTAAAAACACATTCCACATAAATTTTGACAACTGGTAATTGTTTAAATCACTCTGAAGTATAGGGGCGTTGTTTATCAAAGTCTTATTTTTTTTTCAAAGTGAAAAAAAATGATGTAATATTCCATACCAATAGACTGTTACTTTGGTGGCACCCTGCTTGTGGACAATTATAAACATACAATTTATAATGCTGTCATTATTCCAGTCTATTGAGTAGGAAATGAAATCTAACAAGGTCACCAACTTAAATTAGACTACTCTTCTTGAACCTATAAATCATTTTAATATATAGGCAATTCTTACAAATTAGTTCGTTGTGATCTTCTCATGTAAAATGTAGGAAAAAGCACAATATGATGATCTAAATCAGGGGTGTCCAACCTTGGCAACTTTAAGACTTGTGGACTTCAGCTCCCAGAGGAGCTGAGGAATTCTGGGAGTTGAAGTCCACAAGTCTTAAAGTTGCCAAGGTTGGACACCCCTAACCTAAATGATATCAGTCCTTTGTTTTTGGTTTAATTACTTGGTTTCTCCATGTCAAAGCCAGCTGCAGGTAATCAGCCTTATGTATAGTGAAGGAATTGTGTCCCTTGTTTGTCACTCTCCCTCATATAACCATGCTCCTCTGAACATCTGCCCAGTCATCCATCATGTTTATCCCCAAGATCTGTATACCTACAGCATCCAGTATGGCTTTCCCAAAATGGAACTCAGGTCAATTTGACATGCAAAGACAATAAAGTTAATGAGACAGAGCAATGCAGAAACATCAGGATTAGGCAATATGATCCTGTGGGACAACTCACCACAGCCAACTTGCCATGGCCAACTTGCAGGACAATTCACTACAAAATATAACACAAATATACAAAAGTTAAATTAATTTCAACAAGTGTCGCCAATGATAGTAAAATATGAAAAATCAATCCAGAAATACAAAAGTTGCAATAATTTAGATGAAAACATGATTACTTGTAATAGAAGTATCTGAATGAAACAATTAATATAGTATTGAATTGTCCCACAATG